TGAAATACCTCTCTAATGGATGATGACAACCAACAGTTTGGGTAATAAACTTAAAATACCTTCTATCTCCACGAGCGGCTCCTGGGTAAAATCCTGAAAGAACTTATGGAAAAACTGACTGCATGCTGCCAACACTGCTTTGTGAGCTCTGAACTGGTGTCCTGCAAGAGACAGGAGAGATGGAAATGAGAAGCATTGCTTTGGAATTTCTCTTAGACATTATAAAGATCATCTTTAAAAAGGTATGCCTACTCACCATCCACAATCAAGGTAATGTCTGTGAACTGGTCCAGCTGTCGTTGTTCATTAAGTTTGTCCATCATGACTTTGTAATGTGCTGGGTACTCACTGCCTCGGTCCACCTCCACCTCCAGCTCCGCCGCCATTATTGACCTTATCCCTCTCTGTACAGAACCAAGGAAGATAGACATGCAATTCTTAATACTGTTTGAGGAAAGTAACAAAGCAATCACCTAAACTGCCCACACATGTGCGAGCACTTTGAACTGACCTCTACTACTGGGGCTTGTACTATGAATCAGAAGTGACCCATCCCCACCCCAGTCAGATGTACCTGTGCCCCAATGATGGGGCAGTGATATTATAAGACTATTAACTTGCGCATTCACACAGTCTAATAATATAGTTTGCATGGGCCATATGCTGCAAACAGCATCCCTTTTCTGTGAACGCGCTCATGGCTTGATTGGGAAACCCTGGGTTGAGTTACTAAGTTGATAACCCAAGTCATGTGTCTGCTTAACGTGATGTATGTTGAACTTGCATCGTAGTACAGGCCCCATGTTACAATTTGCTCCACCGTTTCAAACAAAAGACAGTTTTGAGGAATTGTTTCGTTTGACAGTGAAACAACTTACAGCAGGAAGACCACCAGCCAACATTTTTTTTATATCTGTACTGAGGAGGAGAGACCATTTTAATTCTTGAATGGGCAACAAATCTCTCCTGAACAGCTCCACTACACTCTGACTGAACCTCACATTGTCCAATATGACAGTGAAACAACTGCTGTAATTTCATGACTGCTAGGAAGGACTGCTGTACTTGTAATTGTATTGGTTGAAATTGTATGAAAGGCTTTACAGGGCAACAACATTGCACAGTCTGAAGAAGCCAAGATGGGGGCCCACGAAATCCCATCACTAATGTTACTAACGTTACGCTTCCCAGCAACTGCTCAATAAACTGTACAAATATGATATATGAATCACCCTGCTACATTTTTAGAGCTTGACCTGCCACACTAGGAGACGGGCATATAATTCAACGAATGATCCAACACATGCTCGTTCGTCTAGCTAACAGCTTTGCTAAGTTAGTCCAGCCCGATGTTAGCCTAACTAGCAAACACACACAGCCCTGCCCCCCGCAGAAGAATAAAATAAGTACTTTAACATACCCGAGAAATATATGTAATCAAAGCCCAACTTACCGGGACAAGATATACCTATGTAATGGTTTCGATACCGGAACTGGAACATAAAGGAAATAAACACGGCACAACCCCAGAGTGTTGCAGGTAACGGGCCTCTTAGCACGCTCGCCATTTCGCATTTGACAATCAACATTACGTCATCAAACCGCGCATTAAAATACACTTTTCCAAGACCGATTTCCTAATTATAACAGCTGCGGGTCAAAACACACGTTAGACCCATCGGTATACATACCTAAAGTTTGGCTACACTGCTTCAGAAAGTTGTTTAGAGATAATAGTTCCCTCGACGTATGTATCGCTGTTGTACTCTCGTTGCTCCAAAAAGGGCGGTCGTTCAACCCTCGGGCCTCGGAATCCCAGAAACCCTTGCGAAGTCAGGGACGCCTTGGAGCGTTGCTTAGTGACAAGCTGTGAGTGAGCTGTGTGTGACAACTGTTTAGATGTTCTTCTTCTCCACTGCAATGAAACTAAAAGTTGGGGTACCAAAACGGATAAAAGTTTATTTAATTTGCATCACATTATCATCTGCAACTATTTCTTTAATAGTAAAAAGATGGCCAATGCCTTCTGCCTATCCAAATAAACCCAACACTGTCCATAATGCGCCATAAGGCAGACAGTTACATTCACTTCAGGTTGGGTAACATGGGGCAGTAGCTGGGAAAAATGCCTTTTTCCTAAAACAAAGGAATTAGTTAATTTGTCAACTGTGGGTATTTAATTTACTATATAATATGTTACACAGCCATCTTCAAGATACAAATAAAAGTCTACAACATGTTAATTTATATGTCAGCAAATAGACGTTGAGTTTAGGGGGGTAATTATTAGCTAGGCCACAGTTTAAGTATCTCTTTCACAGACAACAGCCACAGTGCCTACTCTTGTTTGCAAAAGTAAGCAGAATGTATAAACCAGGGTCAGCAGAGACTTAAGGTCAGTTCAGATGTCACAACACTGCAGCTTTTGAAAAGCATTCACTTATCATCACCATGAAATCACCATGAAAGATGTGAATATTATGAAAAAACAAATATACGTTTCAGCATGCATCACCCATTTTTACGCAAGGTTGAAGTTTGAAGAGATAAAAATAAGATAGAACTTTTTTCATTCCAAAAGACATTTTTGTCATAGTATGAATAGTGAAATAAATATATACAGAGAATGTGTATACTGGAATGTATATCCATCCATCCATTGTCAACCGCTTATCCTGCGTACAGGGTTGCAGGGGGGCTAGAGCCAATCCCAGCTGACATCGGGCAAAAGGCAGGGTACACTCTAGACAGTTCGCCAGTCCATCGCAGGGCCACACATAGACAAACAACCACTCACGCTCACACTCACACCTAAGGACAATTTAAGGTTACCAATCAACCTAGTCCGCATGTCTTTGGATGGTGGGAGGAAGCCGGAGCACCCGGAGAGAACCCACGCAGACACGGGAAGAACATGCAAACTCCACACAGAAAGGCCGGGGAAACCAGGGTTTGAACCCACCTTCTTGCTGTGAGGCAACAGTGCTAACCACTGCACCACCGTGCCGCTTACTGGAATGTATAACCATAGTAAAATAAAGTGTAAGTTGAAAAACATGAACATATAGAATGAAGTGGGGTGCAAAGTGCAAAGGAATGAATATCAGTGTAGGGCAATAGTTACAATGTTCTAAAATACAAATTAGTGAAATAAAATTTTGCAGAATGACTCATCTATTTACCTATGTAACTATGTTACAAATGTTGCAAATCACAAGTGCAGAAATGAATGAATGGGAAAGCATGAATGAACACTGTGAAAGGGTGCATCATACAGGTGTGGGATGTTATATAACAGCAGATCAAGTGTGAGGCAAATATGTATGTAGTATGGTGCATGACAAAGGTTTATGTTGAAAAAGGTTTTTTAAAGATAGTGTGCTACATGCATCACCTTTAATGTTAGTTATTTAGTGTGGATGAATATTGTAAAATCAAATCAAATCTTTCTTATATGCATGTCAGTGTGCCCTGATAAAGAGACTATCCATAGGCCAGACTGTAAATGAGTAATACTGGGTCAAAGAACAAGCCAGTAATGTCTCACTGCACTGATCAGGTTCTGTTCTACCCATATGTATTATTTACAGTGCTCCCTCCATGTTGGTATGTAATGCTGCTCATGTAGGTGCATACCTCCAAGTCAACTAAATCTGCTACAGTGTGTGACTCAGGTGTTCCTAACAGAACTCCTAAAATCAAGACAAGCAGCGAAAAGTCAACTGTATTATGTAACAAACTTTAATTGTGAGAACTTAAAATGGTGACCCTTGGACATAAACAGGGGTGGAGCACAGAAACACCTTTCGACACTGGCAAACCTAGCTCAAAATACTGCCTAAAAATCTCTACGGAGAACAGCAAATACCTCTGTTCACACAGTTAAGAAGTTGCGAATATATTGTATTAGATTGTCAGGTGTTACTTTTATTGCGTCCATACCCTGTACTGCTTACCATATTTTCAGATAATATTTGCTTATATTCACTATGTGTTTCAATGCATTTTATTCTTTGTTAAACCACAATGTCATTGACATTTGCTGGGCTAGTTAGAAGTGACCTTCGACCTTGGTAATGCCATTACAGTGCTCTGCATGGCCTTTATCTGCATTCAACCACACCTGACTGATTAGGCTGTTTAAAGCTTTCTTATCTTCTTAAACTGATTAATTTCACCTATGTCTGGGTAACACGAATTCAAATGTCTCTCCATAATAATTTGGTAAAGCCCCTGAAATTAATCTCATTTTTTTTAAACTGCTGTCTTTTTTGGTTCTTCATCCCTCCTAAATCTCTACATTGTGAAGTTCATCATTTCATTTTCCCCTGTTGCTTGGGTGAGGCTATATTCAGTTTTTCTTACCAATTGTAGTCTACATTCTTTGGCCAGCAATGAACTATATGAATATAATCTTACTCACTTATGATCTCCCTTGTTCAGTGCTAAACAATACCGTTAATATTTTCCTACTTTTACTGTCCGTGTGTTAAAAACTGTAGGATACTTTCTCAGGAATGCCTAAGTTCTGCCACTTGTGCATGTTGAATGAGGCCTGTGTAGCTGTGTTTGTGTAGGCCTTGCAGAAACATGCTGAGCAGAGCACACTGACTGAAGTCCCACCCTCTGTCCTTTTTTCACTTCCCCTCTCTGCGCCATAAGTGAAAAACAGAATTGCTCAATGTTCCTCCATGTTCTGTTGTACTCATAATACACCTCTGTAATGTACTTTACACAACGTAAAAATTATTCCATTTGATTTACAAGGCAAATAATCTCCAGGGCTGAGATGTCTTAACCAGCAGTAATAAAGAGGTAACTTTTTCTCGTCACACTGTTCTCCTCAAAGAATTTGTCAAACTGCCAGTTCCTACAAAACATTTCCATAAAAAATGTGTCCTACTCATCCTGCCAACGGATTTCATGCACTGTGACTTTTTAACTTTAGAAAAGTGTAGGCATCAGCATACAGCTGGGACTGAACTTTGCCCTCCCTCCAGATAGAAAAACAACATGCAGAGTATAAAAGGGGGGGAGCAGTGGAGGAAGAGAGCTGTTTTTGTTCAAGGAGTTGCAGCGACGCAGAGCTGAGCAGAAAGAAGGACACATTAAACAAAGGGTAGGTGACAGAATACATTACATTTTACTTAACATGCAGTTATTTAACATACGGTACCCAGAAAGCAAAATGTATTTATCAGTGTTTCCCTTTACAGCTACGATAAAAAAATGGATCAGTGCTTAGCGATAGGACCTAAGGGTATTTCGCAATACAGAACATTTGAACCTTTTTAAATGCAAATGTTAAATTGTATGTGCAGTTTATCATGCATCCCGCTTCAACTAGCCACTGAACCACTTTTTACTTTTTTGTTTTACATTTTACATTTTCTTTGACTTTTTGAAAATCCAAGCATGCTTTCTGTTTGATTCTATGCTGTTTCTTTGTATTTATGGTGTGTATCCATGAGCATACATTTGTATAGAAACAACATGAGCACAGATTTGACAACTTCAAAGAAACTGCTTTGTTCAATCTACTAGTTGCACTAGTTTCCCTTCTATAGCTATATCCAGTCCAGCAAGCACTTAATTGAAAAGAGGTAACAGTTTGGGAGGGTACCTTGGACTATTTGGAGAATGTAAAAATGGTGCTAACCCTTCTCTGACCTTTTGTACAGTCTTATCACTTTTGTCTGCAGAGTTTAACCAGTCTCTGGTGTTCTCCCCTCCCTATTATTTTCTTTCACCTCTCACTGCTCCCTTCCCCATATTCTCCCCCCACCCACCACTATCCTCTTACTCTCTGTGCTCAGCAGATTGGGGCACTGAGGAGGCACAGCAGGGATGTGGGCGTGCCTCAGCCTACTCGTCACTCTCTGCCTGTTCCATGGGGGCGGAGCAGAGAGTGATGGGGGTGGGCCTCGCTGTGAGCTGCCGCCAGTCTGGAAGATAGGGGAGGTGGAGCCAATGAAGGGGGCCATGGGCCAGGTGACGGTGGTGGCCCTTTTCCAGGCCAGCTGATTGTCCTGCTTGGTGCAGGCTTCCAAGTATGTGCACATCACATTTTAGCCACCTTGACCTCTTGACATTCATGCTGCTTGGGTAGACAGGAAGTGTTACAGAAATGGTATTACATATTTAACAGTGTCAGATAAATTGTATGGGCTAGGCTTGCCAAGTTGGCAGCAAGGTATAGCAGGCTCAGACTGATCTGTCTTATGCAACTATTAAGAAGTTCAGTGTTGAAGGAGTGCACCCTCTTCATACTAGACTATCCAGAAATGCTTGATTAAAAACTTTGTTACTTGGCAATTGATTTTCAAACTCATGGTCTCTGATTTCCCTCACCTGAGCAGAATGGATGGCCTGCGCCAGATGCTGGAGAGTCAGGGTCTTAAGGATGTGGTCTACATGGTCGTTAACCAACAGGAGGAGCAAGCACAGCGCCTGCACCCCATGCTGGCACAGAGACTATCAGGGAACATCACACTCTACAAACAGGACAAACAACAGCCTGATGTCTGGCAGACACTGAGTGGCATGACAGATGACTTTCTCATTTATGACAGGTTTGTTACCTGTAGTGAATAGTTCATTCACATTTTGCAAGGGAAATTAAGCAAATATTTTTTAGTCTCCTCACCATGCTTTTCTATCCTTTTGCCATCAGGTGTGGCCGTCTCACACACCACATTTCACTTCCATACTCCCTCATCGGACAAGGCCATATTGAGGGTGCGATCAAAGATACCTACTGCAAGCGCATATGTGGTGACTGCACACATGAGGTACAGAGCACACGTAACTGCAAGAATACACATCAATTTAAAAAAAACAGTAGTCCTCAAACAACATGTTGGTAACCCATTTAATCAAAGATCCCACATACATTGAAATCCCTTTTGGCTTTCTTTCCTTTTCTCCTCTCTTAATTTTTCCACAGAGCACTGAAACACCAGAGGAGTGCAAAGAGAAAGCTGATGCACAGCCTGACGCAGACGGCACCCCAGCTGTAGTGGAAGACACCAGACATGGTCACCATCATGGACATGGGCATGGTCACCATCATGGACATTCCCATGGTCATGGCCACCATGGTTTTCAGCCCCGTGGCGTTGGCCATGGCAGTGATCACAACCATGGTCGTCACCATGGAAATCATGATGATATTGGCCAAGGTGTTAGACAACAGCATGAGCAAGATAGTGGTGTGCCTCAAAGGCAACATCATTTAGATTCAGGCCAGATGCAGCAAGCAGTGCACATTCACCACGTGATACAGGAGGCTCATAGAGCCCCTGTGAGGCCATGAGTGGCAGAGAAGGCCAGGTGAAAGTCAAAGCACAGCTGACAGTGGACAGCTGGCTCTGACAATGAAGCCTCTCCTAAGGCCAGCTGATGCTGACACTGACGCAGGCTGTTTGGCGATGCAGTGAGTGAGCAGCCCATTGGTCTCTGACACTGTGACGAGGCGTTGCCCGCCTCCTGACAGTGACACGGACTGATAGGCGATGCAGCCAATAATGTCAGGGAGACCTGACAGTGACGCTCGCCTCCTGCTGACTGACAGCAGCCTCAGCCAGCCCAATGAGTCTGACCCACAGCTGGTAGCTGAGCATGAGAGCAGCTGTAAGCTGGCTCTGATATCAGCCTCATATTAATACCAGCCACAAACACCAGGGGCAAGCACTCTTTTTACCAACAAGTATTACCCTGGGAGAGGGCACGGTAATCCCTGACAGCATAGATGTGGGATGGGTGAACAGGTGGAGTCCAACATCACACTTAAAGACAAAAAATAAGGCAGATCAAAACACCATCCAAAACGTATATTGGCAGCTTTTTGTCCATGTCCTGTTTTACCGGTCTCAGTCTCTCTGTCAGTGGGTTGCTCTCATCCTTTCTCAGGAGTGCATGTGCTTGTCATGTTCATAAATTGCCTCTTCCATTTTGCTCTCACCAACCTTTATGAAACCAGGCGCAAAAACTATGCTCTAGTGGCGTCTGTATGAAGTCAGGCAGGAGAGGGAGGAGAGGGTAGTTTAGGAACATGATAAACGCCTAAAACATTTTAATGTTCAGTATCAAAACATATTTGAGGGAATAGAAAAATCATATATAATCTGCAAATACTAAAAAAATCCACAAATGATTAAATAAGAATATGAGAGAAGATACAGTACATTGATTACAGATTGTGTGAATTAGGTATTTACCAGAAATGTCTGAAGGGCAAATCTGAAAGCACTGGCTAATTACTAGGGAAAACATTTAATAGCAAGCCTTGAATCATTTATACCAGTGTTTGCCTGTATGCTGTGTTGTTCTTGAGCACATGTAACAGTATGAATGGCTGTCTTTTTGTTTTGTACCCGTTGGTGTGACTTTTTTCACAAACATGCACATTTTCAATGTTGAGTACTTGGCATTTTCTAAATCTGCTATGTAGGCTGCAAATTGCTCACATCTATACAAGGCTTGCTGTAGAAAATAATACAAGGTTCTAATTGTTTAGAAAGGAAGAGGGAAAAGGAGAGTGAAGCAATGAATGACTGTTGGACTACACTCTGTACTTAATGATGATTTCTGCGGGAAGATGACAGTCACCCTGAAAATCTGATGATTGTACAGAGAATTGTATTGTGTTAAGGTTGTCAAACATGGAGAGTTGAATAAAGATGGGAGAGTTACTCTTTTGGTTTGTGTGTGTGTTCTCCTCAAAGTTAAAACAAAGAAGCTAGCAGTAAATGGATATATTTAAGCATACTAGCTAACTAGTACAAATTTGCTGTGTAAGAAAAATTATGGGGTCTGCCATGGATTGTATGTCTTGGGGGAGTAACTCTTGGCAGCATTTAACAACTATCCTGCACGCGCCTGAGGACTTGAATGCATGTGACTTCAACAAAGCAGAGGGGTCATATTACTCACAATACTTGTACATTTACAATCTTCTGTAGCACGTCATTAAATTCAAATAATACACAGATCTTCAGTTTTATGTCCAGTAAATTTTGTAACAGTTCTTCCAAAATATTTTGGAGAATGTTTATGTCAAGGGTGCTATTAAACTGTTTTGTCCAATAATTGTCAGCAGATGGCAATGAAGGTCTGCACTATAAACCACCACCACACTCTCAAAGGCTAAGTGGTGAGTTTACTGATGGAGCATGTCCTCCTTACTGACCTGGTAGGCTTTCCACATTCTACTCCACCCAAATAACCTAAGGTGACTCTGAAGAACTGGATCATGCACATTAGCTGTCTCTCTCTACTTTCCTCTGTCACATGTGTACAAACGCATGCAATTTCAATTCCAGTGGTTCAAACTACTCTGCTTTTGCATGCACATGAGCAACATGTACATACGTCAGATGTCCAGTTCCGGCTTGAAATATTTTGCAGGAGTAGTTTTTAGGGGATGAAAGTGAGTCACTTTTCAGAAGGTATGTGCTTTTGATCCCAGGCTTCCCAAGTGTGCATGTCGAAGTATCCTTGAGCAAAATACTCAATCCCAAATTGGTTCTGATAGCTGTGCCATCGGTGTATGAATGTGTCTTTCTGTTAATGATGGCATATGGCACCTTAGCCTCCGGCTTAGAATAGTGTGAAGGTGATGTAGTGTAAAAGCACTTTGAGTGGTCGGAAAGATTAGAAAGGCGCTACTCAAGTACTTAGCATTTACATATTAACACATATAGCTTAACTATAACTTGTGGCTTACATGCATACACACATTGTAGATTGATAGACTTATTGTATCGATAATACTGATGGTAGACTGTAGAACAATGGAAAACAACAAGAAATTAGCTTTATTCTATTAAGAAAGAAAACTACTGTTTATTATTGTGGTATTGTTTGTTTGTGTTTATAATGGCACTGAATGCATGTAATACTGACTTCTTAAGCTCACCTTTCTATGCTGACACTTACATAATGATGTAAACACACAGCTCAAAACCTGTGAAATTCTCTTCAAGGCTTAAAGTGCAACACCCTATGCTCAGTGTAATGTATCTGAATTGCCTGTCGGACTGTGTGTCTGAAAAGGTCAACAAGCAACCGGAGGTAATAAATGAGGCCGGGGTGGGCTTGTGTGGGCGTAATTGGGCTGAAGATCCAATACAGGGGAACAGTGACTTATGGGTAATTACCTGCAATGTCCTGAGACGAAGAGCTGTGAGTGGTTGCCTCTCTGATTCAATCAGCCCCACACAGAGCAGCGCAATACACAGCCTGTGTCTTAATTGTCCGATATGCTTGCCCCACGATGCACGACTGTTTCTGCAGCCGTTTCCTCTCCACTTACTCCAGCAGCAATGAGAGAGAGAGAGAGTGACAGAGAGAGAGATAGAGAACCATACACTTACGAACTCATTCGTACACACAAAGTGCCCCTCTGTTGCTCAGAAACATGTGTGCACTCCCCACCCTACTGCCATATACATGCACACAGATCCTATTTTTCTCTCTCAGCCACGCATACACAAATCCATTTGTATTTGAACTTTCAGGCCAGAGTGGGCTGTACATTTTCTTCATTAACATCTTGGACTGTCACTGAGTGCTGATCTGAGCTAACCTTTGCCGTGCAGTATGCTGCTTGCGTACTTTTAATGACACTCTCGGCAGGTCTTGTGAACAGAGTTCAGATTTCCAACACTAATTATGACTTTAAATGAAACAATAAGTCCAGTAAGTGTACAGAATCTGAAGAAGCGTTCGGTTTTAGAAACACGACAATTCCTGGCATTATTAACATTATTAACATTAAAAAACATACTAGTTTAGTGTTTTCTTTTATTTCCGGAGACACCTGATGATAAATAAAAAAACATGCACAAGATGATTGAGATGCTGTATATACATTTATTGTGTAATTCGTTGAAAGCTTATTGATCACAAATCCAACACAAGAAAGGCTCATCTGGTAAGATAAACACTCAAATCATCAGAGATCGACACACAGTTCTTGGCCTTGAGTATAACAGCAGGCAACTGACAAGGACAGTGGCTCCAAGGTCAAGAGCATTTGAAAATATGATTGAGGCTGGACAATATTGTGCAAAGTCAAACCAATTAATGCAAATGGAAATGCAAACTGATCAATTGCGGTGTTGCGTTTTTCACACTTGCAACCGCAATGCAGCTGTTTCCAATTCTGACTGAATATTTCTAGTTTTATGAGCTTGGGTGACACATGTGAGAGAACACATTACTCATGCTGCACCATCCACTGTTGTCAAATAAGGAGGTTGGGTGATCAGAGGGCTCCAAGCAGACAAATAAATAACACGTGAATAGAAATATAGAGTGGAGCCACTGAACTCAGTCATAGAAAAACATGGTGTATACGCTGTAGTCAAGTCAAGAATTAAACTATTTCCCCAACAAGCTGAAAAATGTCTTGTGTGCTGTGAACACTCTTTGTTTGATAAAGAGTTACAACTAGTCCAAATTCCAGCTCTTACGATTACTTCCAGGTTTAACAGTGCGACAAAAGCCCCCCTTGGACTGATGCAAAACCAAGAAGCTGGAGGCCAAAACACATCATTATCAAACACTGGAGCCCCTTGCACTTTTCAATCATGAAATTCTGAAATCACATAGTGGGAGAAATGTAAGAGTGTGTAGAGTTACAATATAACTATTTCACTCTGCCTATATTTCGGTATGGCTTTCATAAAATACTATGTCTATCTGCTCTATCTATCCATAAATCTTATAGCAAACATTAAATACTACATTACAGTACATCATTCTATCAATCTGGCAGTGTAAAATTTGTCCTATAAACATAAACTCTGTAGGACAAAGCTGAAGCTTATTGATAATGAAGGTTTGTCATTGTCTGATTATTGTGCTGAATAAAAAAACATAATGCTGTTTCATAATAACAAGTAATTTATAGACTTGATTTAGCCCAAAATACAAAATCTGAATACTATTTTAACCATCAGATATATATGTGTACAAAGTGCTTGCTCTAAAGTGTCTGTAACATTTCTAAGCTTGACATAACAGTTGCAAACGTTTAAACACTACATTAAGAAAGAGCTCATTGTGAACTGGAAAAAAAAATTGCAGACACAATGTAGTAAACACCTATACAGTAAGCTTGAACAGAAAAGCACCTCCCAATTCATCTTCCTCACTGTAATCTTTAAAAAATACTTTCAGTGATTTAACTTTTTTTTGTTTGTTTGTTTTTACAACTTTTCCTAAATATCATAATTGCATTGCATATTCCAGTTTGCACACATTCACAATAACCACGGTACAACTGAAACAGAACTTTAACCGTGCTTTTTCCCATTATCTGATCTTCCTTCATATACCCAAAGAGCCTTCTGGGGATCTTTGGATGGGTGTAAACTCTGTGAACATTGGATGAGCATCAATAGCTGACTGTATTGCAGCTCGACTTTGGGGCATCAAAGTCTTTCCTTCCCATTTCTCCCAAGCAACAGACCGTTTTCCGATGTCAGTATCATCCAATTTGCAGGTTTCATCACAAAACATTACCACTTGGACACAACACAGTGATCATCGCACTCTCTTGAATGACCCCCCCCCCCCCCCCCCCCCCCATCCCAACATCACCAAAGTAAGGCTAAATGCAGAAAAAATACATGTACCGAGCAGCAATATATTGTGATTAGTAACATAAATGACGTAAAAATATATATATATTTGTAATCTTACAGCACTAGTAAATATATTAAGACATTTCTGCAACAGCATTGACATGCTGGTGTCATCAGGTAGCAACATCAGAACACTGGGCTCTTTAAAATAAAGAGAGACAGAAAGAGAGAAATGGCACATTTATCATATTCACATTTGTAGAAACTGTCATTGTATGGCTCTTGCTTTGTCTCTCTTCTGACAAAAAAAACCAGCAATGTGCACATCTATCCATTAGCCTGCTTATCTCAAGGATGATTCCAACAACATAATTCAAAGGCACGACGTGTCTTCTTTGCGCTGTGAAGGAGGCCGCCTTGATGTTAATACAATCATAATACTCCTGACTCATTCATAGACTTGTTGAAATGGAAATTCATTGTGTTGTATCACAAAACCACGCACATCGCACAGCCTCTATTGGCCTACGCAGAGATAGCTTATTATATGCAGTATGCTATGTTGCTGTGTTGATCAGAACCACATTGTCATAGTCTTTATGACAGAATTCATAGGGTGAAAACACAAGGAGCCTAAACCCTTTACAAAAGGTCTCCTCTGCTACCCTCTCGCCCACACAAGCAAAGCTTAGACTGTCAATAAACAAAGGGCAAGCTTACACTACAAGTTAATGTGACTAAATAATTTATTAAGAAACATATTCTTGCTTATAATGTCATAAAATACTCACATCTATCTATTTATTTGTTGCTCTACCAGAACTTGGAATTCAAGTACTTGTCCATATCAACATTTTTGGTTTGGAAACTGTGGTGAGCTTTACGAGTAGGATCATAAATGTGAAAATTACAGTTCAGTGGCCTCAGAAAATGTTCAACCTTGCAACTATTTTCTACAATTTCAGCTCATAATTCTTATGACTGTCAGGAAGGCAGAATAAACATCAATTAAGGCAAATGTTTTTGATGTAGTGTGTTGTGTGTATGTATGTACGCATGTTGCTGTGTTAGTACATGTGCAGGATTTTCTATGCACAGAGATACTCTACAATGATTCACCAATATATAGCAGTACCTGCCAGTACATAGCAATGCATAGATGCACAAATCCTAATTACGTAAGCATCGTTTAGCACAGAAATGGCAAGGCAATACCACTATCATAGGCACAGTTTGTCAACACGGTGTAATAGTATTAAACGTTAGCTAAATAATTACAGCTACTTTCAAGAGTCTTTCAACTTGTTCCAGTTGCTGTCCCTGCCATAACAATGCAACATGAGAAGAATACAACTCCCAAATACAAAGCTTGCTCACTTTATGGGCGAGTGATGGTTGTAGAGGTGAGACTTGGCTGCTGTTACAGGATGAAATGCAATATCTGGTTTCTCTGAACTGCTGGATGGGTGTTTATGTCCCTTCCCTTTTGCTATAATAACTATATCAATGCGCCCTTCAGCAAGGCACTTGGTGGTGCTCAGTGTAGTACAGCACTGTTTGTACTGAGCGGCTCTCAGTTGTGAATTAATCTGAATAAACCATTCCTCTTACTACAAGAACCGCTGTTAAGCGCACTAAGCGTAATGTTCTCAGTACGCATGTCAGAATACAATGAAAATAAACATCACAACTATTATAAACACACTGTACCATTCAATGCATTCCAGGAATTAGATTACGATCCCTTTTATTCATCTCCTCTTCTACTTTAGTTAGTGTTGTCCTTAATTTCCCAGAATGTCTTTCAATATCCCCCAAGGAAGGAAATTTACTTTGTATATTTGGACGTTTTTATTGTTGATGGTATTTTTAGTCCCGATTACTCATGTTTCTGTGACTGTGCTGCATTTGTACTGAATGTTTTTTTCAGTTGTTGAAAATATTTTTTCTATTAAACTATTGTGGCTGTAGAGAAAAAGAAATCCTTGACATCATATAATCTACATTTGGCCACTTCTTCACAAATATAGGAATATTATACCATTAAAAAAGAATGAATCCAGGAATGCAAGGTTAAACTGCATAGTGATTTCAACTGTGTAGGGTGTGTATGTATATATTATTTCCTTTAGCTAATGCCTTTTGTATAAAAATCTCTCTCTCTCTCTCTCTCTCTCTCTCTCTATATATATATATATATATATATATATATATATACACACACACACACACACACACACACACACATACACTAATACTATAGATCTCTAGTGAAGTACTAATAATAAGGCAGGATGAGATAAGAAATTTAAGAATATAAAATAAGCCAGAATTGAGCAGCAAAACACCTCTGCCAGCAAGAGGTATCAACGACAGCAAGGACTCCTTCTCGGTGTGGTGTGAAACACATGACTAGAATGTGCTTGTCTTTTCCCAATCAATCATACACACAACAGCTCTCTGAAAGATTAAGACTTCAACTATGTCATTGCTCTAAACACAATTAGCCAGAGATGTAATGCGATCCGAGCAGTCAGCTAATACTTTGTGACTCATTACAATCAGTCTCAGCCTTTAATATGTGTCTTGTGCATGGATGTCAACAGAGAAAGCAAACTGTGCATTGTGTATGTTTACTTTTGGCTGCCTCTGCATCAAATTAATTGATGTAGCAGGTGTAAAAGAATCAATAATACAGCTTGCAGCGTTTCACATCTTTCTTTCAGCACCCTCTGACAAACAAACAACTGTACACTCTCATCCAAACTGTGTGCTGCAAGTTATTTGGTTTCCAGCAGGAATCAGGTAGAAACAGGCTTATGTGACCGCAGGGGACTTCCTGGTGAATTAACCTTACACCTAATGGCATTGTCATTTCATGGCGAGAGGTTCCCCAGCAGGTCTGGGGTGATGTACCCTACGGGCATAGCAGGTAGGGCCTTGAGTGGGTGCTGTGGTAGGCAGGGAGGGGGAGACTGGCGGGGAGGCGGGTTGAGGAGCAGACTGTGCTGACTGTCCACCTCCTGTACCACTGTGTAGTCTGCAACAGGGGTAAAGAACTGAGATTGGGGAGAGTCAGGAAGAATGTAAGGTGACTGATTATTCTCTGCTGTGGCTGCAGGTCTGGTCTCCACTGGCTGAGGGTGTATGGTTTGATACCCCTCGCCAGGCATCGAGGAGCTAAGGTGAGTGCTGATCTGCCAAGCATTGCCCTCTGTGGTGTAGCCGCTTCCTTCAGGATCCACTACCAGCAGCTGAAACTTCAGCTCCTTCTGCTTCTTTTGATCAGTGTCCTCGCTGCTTTTGTGCTCTTTCCCTTTCTTTTGTGTTACCTCCTCCGTGGCTGATGTGCTCTCCTGGATTCGGAGTTGCTGGCCAGGAGACAGCACCACTCCTCCAGAGGGCATCACATTGCTGACTTGGGCATAGAAGTCTGTGTTGACCCAAGTCTGAGGCTCTCCAGTTTGGGTTTGGACTAGGGGCTTTTTGACTCCCTCTGCGGCTGGGGCTCTTTCTACAATATCAAACGAGGCTTCTACGTTCTCAGGTTGCCCTGGCAGCAGGGTGGCCATCAGCATTAGGGTGTCTTGGTCAGGCAGATCTGGGTCATAACAGCTGGCCCGGCCTGAGTCATCATCAGGGAAACTAAGGAAGAGGGAAACAGTTGGAACACAGGAAAAGAAACAAGATGAAATTTGTATTTGTACAGCCATCTGGCAGCACGGAAACACGACCTTTACATGAGAATCTGTGCAGTACCTGATGGCATTGGAGCACCCTGTGTTCATGTGGTGGATGATGGGTTGGGGCTGACCCAGGAGCCTCTGGGTGTCTGAGCCCTGGTTGTCCTCCTTCTCTCCATTATCTGCGTTTTCAGCATCCACCTCGATGAACTCCACCCATGGCTCATCTTGGTAGAAATCTGGTGCATAAGTGGACAGGCCACCCATTCCTCCACCACTCAGGACCAAATTCAGCTCGTCCAGCTTCCCCTTCTGCATGTGCACATATTAGTATGTAAGTATGCATGGCAGTCAGGATGCAGGAAGTCACCTTTTCCTATTCTATACACAGCATTGTGTCTTGTAGTACATAGCACATAGTATGTACATTTTTAAAAATACCAGCAACAAATACAACACGCTTTGTTTTTCACCTTTGCCCGAGCGAGCGTTATTATTTATTTATTTATTCCTATCAGGACTATTTTTCCCTCAGGTACAGGGGTAAGGTTGTTTTGTAGATAGCTAACAGGCTGCCTGTTGAATGCATCCCGCATCATTTGGCAATGATACACCCACAACAGAATGCTGAACCAAGACCCTCTTCACATCTTATTATCCCTCAGTGGTCCTACTGTTCTTGTTTACTCACACAAAGCGAGAGTGCTTGTTTGCTTTTCAATTATATATGGACACTTTTGTTTGTTTGTTTGATAGTTGACACAGATGATAAACAGGCCGTGATTGAAGGAACAGTAGGTGGTGTGATGATTATGTGGCTTTTCGGGCCTCATCCAACTGAGCCACATGGACCCCCAGCAGGGTTTTTAATCAAAATTACAATAAAAATGTAATCAAAAACAGTGGTTACACGAGACTTTATATAATCACTTTACTGAATATACAAGGCACAATTCCATGTGTTGGCAGCTGTTATTGATGTTTACAATTTCACTCTTTGTGCATAAAATACACTACAAATGTATTTGAGTCTGACTGGTATTGGATCTATGAAAAAATTATATGACTATATTTCACTAACAAAGACCACGCCTACGAACGTAGAAGATTAACAATGGTTTATTGCTTGTAATGGAGCCGAGAAAGATTGTACGAAAAGAGCGGATCGAGTGTCCAGAGGGTGGGCTGAGGGATGTAGGGATGGGGGAGAGGGTCAAGGGATGAGGGGTAGGGGTCGAGGTGTGATGGATGAAGGGTTGAGGGGAAGACAGGTGAGGGACGAAGGGGAGGAGTCGGATCTGCACCGATGGATGCGTGAGTGAAGAGCAGCAAGAAGGTGTGTGGGAACTGGTGGAGTCGAGACTCAGAGTGGGGGAGCCGTCTCTTAGTCCGTGGACGTGCGGAAACCCCCAAAAGAACTTCAGATGGAAAGGTGTGTGTGAGCGTTTCTGATACCGTTTAGGTCATAACAGATGTAAGTGAGGTATGCTGGTGAGGACCAGCGGCCGAGGATTTGATTATGTTGTCTGGGATTCCCTGCCTGGAGATGGTGGAGGCAGCTCTGATGCGGAATGGATGCCCAAGTAGAGTTTGGGGGAAATGCCGGATTTGGATAGAATTTGGCGAAGGAGTTAGTGAAATCAGAAGAGCGGCTACTGTCCCTGTCTACAGAGGATCTTGAGGGGAAGCGCGGCTGGCTATTATCGAGTCTGCGTAGCATTGTACTGGTTCGTACGGACTGAGGTAAGAATAGAGTTGGAAGAGGTAGATGGGTTGCGGCAGACCGGATTGGTTAATTTCGCTGCGTTTTAGGTGATAAATGAGTGTGTCTGCAGATGGTATGGAAATGTCGGGCCATAGTGGCATATAGACTCGGATGATAGTTGAGGCTGGAGGTGGTGAACCCTGAGCAGTGCGAGAAGCCAAAAATGCCTATAGGAAAGTGGATTCTTGGACCGCATATGGAGTCAGGTAACCCGATCTGAGCGAGAAAGACAGTAAACGATAGTGTTTTCGTGGCCTGGGATATGGGAGGCTTGGATGATGAATGGCGCTGTGCTGAAAACCAAGGTGAGCCTCTGCATGAGTTGCATTATGTCTGGGCAATGGGACCGTCCTCTGTTGATTATGTCTACCACTGCCCTGAGCCTGAGTATATTTTCTTGGACCGCTTAGACCCCCCAAAGAATGGCTGCAAAAAGACTGGGTACGTGACGTAGATGGTAGGGGAAGGAGGGAGGGCTGATTCGGGTGGCCAGTCCGCTGCGAACCAACTACCGCCATAGTAGCCGCAGACGACAGAAGAGGCAGCATCTGTGAAGAGCTAGATGATCGTCGTGGAAGAAGGAGATGCTGTTCCGGGATTAAAGGAAATCTAACTGTGTTTAAGCTCCATTGCATGCGGCGTCTAGTTTGATGTGGTCATGGAGAGATGGGACGGAAGCAGTTATGGAAAGGAGATGCGACGGGAAGGACCGACCTTGTGGGATGATCCGGGTGGTGTAGTTAAGTGGCTCAGTAGTGAGAGAAGATGGCGTTTGGTGTGATGGTGGCCAGAAGGAAATTGAAAATTGGCGAGGAAATGTGGTGGATTTTCTTGGGGGCAAGGATGCCTGGAGTAACCTTGAGTCAAGGGTGATGCCCAGGAGCTCCAGTGATATGTTGGGTCCTTCTGTTTTCTCTGGGGAGAGAGGGACTCCGAGTTTGTGGAGCGCGGTGTTGTGATGTTGATGCCATAAGATGGTGGCGTAGAGGGTGGCAAAAAGGTGAGGAAGTCATCTGTGACGTTAATATATGTTAAATATATATTAAATATATATTATTCAATATATATTAATTATTAATTAATTAGATTTAGTTATATCTTATTATTTATTTATTTATTTATTTCACTTTATGTTTTGGGCTGCTCTTACGCCCGAAGGTTAGACGAGCTGCAAAGTAGTAGCGCCCTTCCAGAGAACGCCGAAAAGGTGCCAGTAGTCGGAGTGAATGGGAAACACTTTGAAGCGCTGGTGATATCTGCCTTGGATGGCCAGGCTCCTTGTCCTGCGGTGCGGATGAGGGCAATGGAATGGTTGAGTATTGCATTGACTGAGTAGGCGGACGTGTGGGAGTAGCACATAAAAATGTACGGCAAAGTGTTAGATGGTACCAGAAGATGACAGCGACAGAAACCCGAGCTTGTGGTGAAACTTGCAACAGAGGCGAACGTGCCTTAGACTGTAGCAGAAGGTGTGCAGCGCGTGCAGGGCTTTATTATACAGTTTATGGTGCAGGCACGTGAGGAGAAAAAGGCGTGCTCTTCTCTTTCTTTCGTTGTATTGCTTGCGTGTTTGGCTGCAAGCAAACCATTTTTATTTATTTATTTTATTTATTAATTTTAAAGTTTATTTATTTTTTATATTTATTTATTTAGCAATCTAGTTACGAAAAGAAGGCGTACGTGTCGACTTAAATACTGTATTGACTGGAGACGTTACGATTCTACACGATGCCGGGCTGTTTCGGTCGACACCGTAAAGGTACAGAGTAGTAGACTGTGATGGTGCATATTGAGACTGGATCTGGTGGTGCACCGCAAAGGTTGCAGTTCGAGGGTCGTGCTGCAAAGACGCGTCAATAAGCATGGGGTCTAGGGTGCCCCAGTATGTCCCTTGGTTGAACTGCTGCACGCGGCTGGCAGCTTGAGACGAAAAGAAGACGTGGTAGATGGAAACCGCTGTCGCCAAACTGTGAGGCCAGGTCTAAGATTAGGGACAGGTAATCGTCCAGCTCTGACCTGCGGTCCGGGAAGACTGAATTTATATTGTCAGGGTACAAAGAAAAAGGGGAGCAAAATACTGCTGGTGTAAGTACTATGTGAGGATGGATTAATCGGTGGAGTGAGTTCGATGTGGTTACCGGCGACAATCTTTTGCGTGAAGAGGGTGACACTGGAGATGGTCTGCTGTTGTCGTTGCCCCGGAAGTAGCGTTGATAAACCGGAAGTACTGAGCTCGGAGCGCCGAAGCCGGGATCTCCCCCTGGAGCTGCTGGCAGGCGAAGGCCCGACAATATTTGAATTGTCGGAGATCGTAGCTGTGATCGCTGGGGAATATGAGTAGCTGAATGCAGCCGACGTTTCAGTCGAAGTTGTTCGAGAGAAGGCGAAGACTCCGGTATATCTGATGTTAGATGCTCGTCGAACATGTTGTTGTCCGAAAGATTGAGAACGACTTCTGAGTCTGTCGTTTGAGGTAAGTGATTTTGTTTGTTTGTCACGCTCATGAGAAAGCCAAGTCAAGGGGAGGTGAACGGAAAAGGTGTGCTTAAGTACTTGGTGTGCGGAGAGTGGATGAGTTTGAGGCGTGGCCTTAGCTCCCAAATCTAGTTTATAAAACTTCATATAAGCCAATATTTGCTTTGTAAAATAAATCCATAACATAAATCCAACAAAATTGACATATTAAAAAGTTTTAATACTGGGACATTTTACAGTTGAACAATAACCTTCTCTGTGCTCTCTGATGGATGAACTATGTAGGTGGTGACAGTGTTTTGAATTACCACAAACACAAAGCATCTTTGGCATCTTTAGTACTGCAATTTCTTGTAACATACAGTGTGTATGCCATACAAACACCGATATTATGCCAATGTATAGGTTGTGGTCTAGTATGTACGTTCACATAAGTATAAATACAGACAAGGGAGAATAATAGACAGCAGTAATGTACCTTTAACAGCTCTGGATCGATGCCTTTAATTTTGGGAGCAGGAACTGGTGGCAACAGAATCATCATTAATCTGCAACGGCAGGAAGAAGAAAAGGATATGATGAAGATAATCTGTTCACAGTTGTCAGTTTACCAAGAGCTGTTCAGCAACAATCTGCTGCTGATTTTGCCAACATCTGGCCCGCTGTAACTGCCATCGTTTATGCAGTAGAGCTTGAATATTTTTTTGGACACTGTTGGTGTACATGAATAAAAGAGCAAGAGAGTCTGTTCCTACCTGTGCTGCTGAGAGACGACAATTATCATGATGACTATGAGGATGCCCACAACCCCGAAAACAAAAACCAGCGTGAGCTGGAAAGTTGACTCTAAATAAACGAGATGAAACAGAACCTATCATCACCATCAGCATAGTTGTCATCACAACAACAATGTTCCTGGTTGTTCACAGTGGTGTGCTGTGTCTGTCTGACCTGAATAAAGCAATGATTATTTATTGCATCTAACCACAAGATTGATTGCTCCACCCCATGACCCACCATGACCTTTGCTGGGAATCTCAGTCACTAGAATGAAGATGGGGTCGCTGAACTCTCCAAACTTAGTGAAGGCCTGCATCCTGCAGCGGATGTGCACTTCGTACTCTGTTCCTATGTGCAGACCGTAGATTGTCTGCTGGGTGTGTGGCTGGATCTTCAACTGGAATAAAGAAACATGTAAGGAGAGAGAGACAAAACTTTGCTGTGTTTTAACTAATTAGAAAAGGATTCCGCTTTTGCTTACCTAACATAGACAGCTACAACGAAGATGACTGAAGCTAAACAGGGTGTCAAGAAGTCTATGTTTATTTTTGGTACCTGTAACGGAGACCTTTCCAAAGGTACAATTGTTGAGGCATTTCAGTTATATTGGGTAGAGGACATACTGTCATAAATAAGGGCTCTATAACAGGATTTGTTAGACTAGCTGGCCAGGCGGTAATGAATATGAGCCTCTTCAAGGTCCCATGGCCTCTGACCTACAGAACCCTCCCTTCACTTCCTTCAGAGAGGCTAGGTTTTCCCAGAGGGCCTTGCTCTGGCGTGCACTGCCTTGCCAACAAAGCTGCACTGCATTTTAACCACAGGAGTCCAGGGGGGAGGGTAAAGGAAACGTGACACTGTGCACTGTATGACCTACCTACAATTTACTTTAAAGAGGCTGCATGAGTGTTTACATTTGTGTGAGCTTGTGCATGTGCACACAGGTATTTTGTGAAGTTTTAAGGCGTGTGTTTACATGTGTCGGGACATGCAAATGTGCATAAAAGCAAAGGACAAAGGCGGAGAAGTTACAGTGGGTACGGAAAGTATTCAGACTCCTTTAAATTTTTCACTCTTTGTTTCATTGCAGCCATTTTCCAAAAATCAAAAAAGTTCATTTTATTTCTCAGTAATGTACACTCAGCACCCCATCTTGACAGAAAAAAACAGAAATGTAGAAATTTTTGCTAATTTATTAAAAAAGATATTTAACTCAGGTGCTGTCTATTTCTTCTGATCATCCTTGAGATGGTTCTACACCTTCATTTGAGTCCAGCTGTGTTTGATTATACTGATTGGACTTGATTAGGAAAGCCACACACCTGTCTATATAAGACCTTACAGCTCACAGTGCATGTCAGAGCAAATGAGAATCATGAGGTCAAAGGAACTTGCCTGAAGAGCTCAGAGACAGAATTGCGGCAAGGCACAGATCTGGCCAAGGTTACAAAAAAATTTCTGCTGCACTTAAGGTTCCTAAGAGCACAGTGGCCTCCATAATCCTCAAATGGAAGACGTTTGGGACGACCAGAACCCTTCCTAGAGCTGGCCGTCCGGCCAAACTGAACTATCGGGGGAGAAGAGCCTTGGTGAGAGAGGTAAAGAAGAACCCAAAGGTCACTGTGGCTGAGCTCCAGAGATGCAGTCGGGAGATGGGAGAAAGTTGTAGTAAGTCAACCATCACTGCAGCAATCCACCAGTCGGGGCTTTATGGCAGAGTGGCCCGACGGAAGCCTCTCCTCAGTGCAAGACACATGAAAGCCCGCATGGAGTTTGCTAAAAAACACCTGAAGGACTCCAAGATGGTGATAAATAAGATCCTCTGGTCTGATGAGACCTTTAGCCTTAATTCTAAGCGGTATGTGTGGAGAACACCAGGCACTGCTCATCACCTGTCCAATACAGTCTCAACAGTGAAGCATGGTGGTGGCAGCATCATGCTGTGGGGGTGTTTTTCAGCTGCAGGGACAGGACGACTGGTTGCAATCGAGGGAAAGATGAATGCGGCCAAGTACAGGGATATCCTGGACGAAAACCTTTTCCAGAGTGCTCTGGACCTCAGACTGGGCCGAAGGTTTACCTTCCAACAAGACAATGGCCCTAAGCACACCGCTAAAATAACGAAGGAGTGGCTTCACAACAACTCTGTGGCTGTTCTTGAATGGAGCCAGAGCCCTGACTTAAACCCAATTGAGCATCTCTGGAGAGACCTGAAAATGGCTGTCCACCAACGTTTACCATCCAACCTGACAGAACTGGAGAGGATCTGCAAGGAGGAATGGCAGAGGATACCCAAATCCAGATGTGAAAAACTTGTTTCATCTTTCCCAAAACGACTCATGGCTGTATTAGATCAAAAGGGTGCTTCTACTAAATACTGAGCAAAGGGTCTGAATACTTATGACCATGTGATATTTCAGTTTTTCTTTTTTCTTTTTTGATTTTTGGAAAATGGCTGCAATGAAACAAAGAGTGAAAAATTTAAAGGGGTCTGAATACTTTCCGTACCCACTGTAAGAGAGAAAACTTACTGCTTTCCAGTTCGTGGTATTTGTCTTCCTGTACTGTATCTCATACTCAATGCGCATCCAGCCCAAACTGACGTCTGCAGAGGGTGGGGGCTCCCAGTTGACCATGACATCATAACTTACCCCGGAGGGACTTACATTGAGCAGGGTCCAGTTTAGAGACACTGGTGGGTCAGGACGTACTGCAAAAAAGAGCAAAAGATCCGTTTTAACATTTATATCATATATCATTTATATCATTGAACACAGTAAATTAATTGATGGCCTTGAATGCACTCGATGACATGTAGATGAACAAATAAAGACTTATAGTTAATCAAAGAAACTAACATATATGTTCTATAAATCAATTAAAATAGCATATAGGTGGAGGTCACCTATACTGTATGACTGTTTATGAGCTAGCATGCTGTGCCTTGTATCAATTTACAGAGCACATGCAATGTGAGGAGAGCTAATAAACAAAGGTAGGTTTCTTCGTGGAAGAGGTGTCAGCAAACATATGACATTGCCATGTAACCATACAGTAATATCAGCATCTTCTACATTCCTGGGGTCTCATTTATAAAACTGTGCATAGAAACCTCACTAAAAGTGTACCTAAGCCCAAAAGCAAAAAATGGCGTACGCCAAAAAATATTCACGTATAAACCCGTGCGTACGCACATCTGTAAGCAAGTTCCCTTTATAAATCACAATCAACTTGAAATAGCGCATGTGAGGGAGCTTCATGTCCAACTTTTTAAACGCCCATAGTTGCCTATCAATGGTCAGTGAAACGCCCCTCATTAATATTAACACATACTGACTGTGGGAAGAAAAGGAAGCAAATTTTGACAGAAAAGCTACTAAACAAAATTGAACTCAGTGTGACACTGACGTTCCTTTTGCTGAAGCTGAAGCATGTTGTTTGGTGTGTAAAAAAACGGAGCAAAGGGGGCACCGGAGCTCTACCCCTTTGTAACCGCTCTGCAGGAACAGGCATTCCTCTTGAGGAATGACGTCACTGGCTGGAGGGACACACACACACACAAGATGGGACGACCCAGGTACTAATTTGGATTCCCTTTTTTGAAAAGAGAGTAAAAAAAATGCATTCCACTTGTGTTTAATCATTTATTTAGGCTACACAAACAGTCCACTCACTTAATGAGGCTGCAGATGAGTTAAAAGAAATATGACTTGTTGTAAATGACATGAGCTGAAAGATTTACTTAATAAAATAGTGTTGTAAATTCCATAACGTGTTCTTACAAGCAGCGCATCACATCCACACGTTGGCTCAATAAGGCAACGAACATCTGATAACAATATATGAAACTATGCTCTCGGATTTGCTCGACTGACGCTCTGAAAACGGCAACAAATTAAAATGTAATATCTCCTCCTGCTCACCTTATTTATGAGAATAAATTGCACTGCATGCAAGTAGCCTTCCTGATTCCTGATTAAACTGTACATATTTGAGGCGTTCTTTTGCAGAAACATATCTCCATTTGTGTTTATTATCCTAAATGTGGTTCTTTTTGTGTGCGATGCAAATGATCTTAAATAGTTTTTTTGCACACTTCAGGGAAAGTCAATCAAACAGGTGTTTGTTTATTCAGAAAGGTTTAAGCCTACAATACTCAATTGTAAAATTTCGATTTATTTTACACAATATTAGGCCTATTAATTTCAAACCCTTTCATCTTTCTGCCATGTGAGTCGCCGTTTCTCATTTCTCCTCTTTATGTGCGTACGCATGGTTCAGAGTTTACTTACAGGACCGCACATTTTCCCGTCAAGTTTGTTTTTTATATATTTTGCTTGGGAAGTGGCATACATTTCCAGCCCTGTATGTACGCACTGCTTATAAATGAGACCCCTGGTTAGATAAAGGCCGTCAGACATCAAAACACCTACTGTGTGAACCCATGTGTCTGATTGTGTTATTTGTGAAGCATTCGGCATTTGCTGGATTAGCTGATGTGCAGCAGCAACTACCATTTCTTGGAAACCTTTTGTGTAGGTGATCTGTGGTGTCTGAATACATTTACATAATAATCTGTAATAATTCTCCTCCTATTAACAGCCCTGCTAATTCTACATGTGGAGAAAAAATTATGCTAGAACATGTTTTACAAAGTTCACTTGAAATGCAAAGTTGAATTTACCTAATTCATGGGACAAAAATCTGGATATATGCACAAATGTTTGTTACTAACCGATATTCTCTACAGTGAAACAGTCATCCTCATTGAAATAGGTGACGTTTTGGCTGCGGAGCTGCATGCAGTAGGTAATCCAAACGGATGTGTGTTCTGCATCGAAGAAGCACTCCCTATTTGAATGGATGTACTCTGGACACTCTTTCCATTCACTGGTGGGCGAGCTGTAGGAGGGAAACAGTGAAAGAAGGAAGAGAAATAGAAGCAAAGGGGGAAATGATAGGTTATACTGTCTTTAATGGAACTCGCACATGCACACTCAGATACACAAAGTGCTCCAAATGGGAAACAATTGCTTCCAGTCTCCCGGTGAAATGGCAATCACACTCACTCTTTCTTATTGTAGAAGACTCTGAGTGCTCCAGGGGTGGACAGGTTGTGGAAGTTGCCTGGACTCCACCAACATCGGAATGTCTCCAGGTCCCTTGATATGCACTTTGTGAAATGAGGTTCAGGAGGAGCTGAAAGACATTGAGGGAAAGACAAAAAAAGGTAAGGACCAGAGACAGAACAAGCAGAGGAACCCAGATTGGATTAGGGTGATCAATCACCACTATTGACACTATGGGGGCAAATTCAGCCATAACTGAATAAGCTAGCTGCAATGCAATCTAAACCTTTAGGTAAGAGTGAGGAAACATAAACAATTTTTACACCACAATATAATAACAACACTTCAATTTCACCAACCATCCTTGAGGGATGAAAAGATTGTATGAAAAATAATAGGATGTTCTAGTTGTGAGCTTCAGACATACATGTACAATTTAATAATTCTTCTGTAGCATGTGAGCACATACACACACACATGTTTGAATTTTAAAATACTTGTCCCTTACATTGCATTAGCATCAAATATTTTAAGTGATGAAGGCTACGGCCTACATGTAGCTGCCATGAGAAAAAACTCCCAACCCTGATGAAAGCCATGCCATGTGTAATGGGGGCAACACTTTCTGTTGCCAGGAGATAATTTGCAGTCTGCAGCTTATGTTAATCTAAAATTTACTTCAGCTACCTGTAAGCTTGTGACGCATGTGTGAATAAGAAAACAACTTGCTGATAGAAGGTGTTATGTTGCATCCAATTTCAGGCACCATGCCTTTAGAACCGTTAGATCTCTCCACACACTTTTCATATCATTTCTCTGCCCCACTCTGAGGCCCAGACTCAGCCCTTTTCACCTCTCCCTCAGCAACCTGTCACTCTTCATCACCAATCCCCCTCCCTCGTCACCACCCTCTCCTGTCGGAGGCCAGTTTCTGATCCAGCTTTGGGTTTGGTGCAACCATAAATAAGCAACTGAAGGTGTCATTGATTTCTGCTCTACCCACTCTCTCTCCTCCAGCGCTGGCTGCAGCATAAATCACACACAGACCCAGAACATAAACATGCTTCACAACGCAAGGCAAGGAATTACAGACAGGCCAGAGCAATACTCCGCAAATGCAGCCGGGCACTGTCATATGATAGTCTTTTGAGTTGATAAACATTAAACAAGAATTATCTCCACATAGACTCACTGAATGCTGCTAAATCTTACTTAGAAAAGAATAAATACTAAGCTACCAGTATCTGTATGTATACAACATTTGGACAGACACGCACCCATGCATCCCGAGTTAATGTAAACACACTGATAACCACAGAAACTATAACAAAACACAGCCCAAACAAGCCCAGCACCAGGCAGGCCAGACTGCAAATCCGTATAATTTATTCACACAGAATTTACACTGTTACTTTGCTTACTTTCTATTTCATGCCAGTGTAACCTCATAATTCATTGCATTCCTACGCTGTTGTGCCTATGAACCCTCCCTCCCCGATCCCACCTTCCCGCCCTTCATCTTCTGCACACTGTCGTGTTTCCCAGAGCTTTGCTATTTCAACTCGGCCTCCCTCCCCCATCCAACAAATTCCAGCTGCCTCCATCAAAGAGCTTTCTGCAGACACTGGATGTAAAGGAGAGTTTAAGACTATAGCAGGATTACATAAAAAATTTAATGCATATGAAAAAAAAAACCTATTTATATAACCTCATACACAAAGAGTTTAAACTGTTGCTCATATGTCATTATGTACATAATAACACATCTGAATGTTATCTCACAGCTGTTCTAATAAAACTTGAAAGCAAACAGACAGTATTTTGAATGTTACATTTTCATTTATTCATTTAGCTGACGTTTTCATCTAAAGCGACTTACAATTGCTATACATGTCAGAAGTCGCAAGTGTCTTAAGTGTCTTGCTCAGGGACACAATGGTGGATGGGTCACAGTGGGAATCAAACCCGGGTGTCTCACACCAAAGGCATGTCTCTTATCCACAGTGCCATTAGTTAACCTCTCCATAAAGAATGGGGCTCTGCTGGTAAAGGTCAGAAGGTACAGGCAGTTTTTAAAAACTTGTTTGCATTCTTGAACACAGCTCTGGATGGTAGTCTAATCTGAAGTGTGTCAGAGGTGAAAGGTTGCGCAGTGGCAGTCACACTTCTTCTCTGATAGCATAAGGCTTAATCCTATACATGAGCATAATGTCTTTTTCCGAGGATAAAAAAAGCAAAATATACTGTTCAAGTTGTAACTGGCTTGTAATAAGCCAATGGGCGATAACGTGACAGAAAGGATTACCTGCATAAATCAGCTGGTAATTTTGTTGCAGGGCCTTACTGCTCATTTTCTACATGTACTAATACACAACCAGACCATGACAAAATCCTGCCTGTACCTGCCAGCTGCCATTAAATGATCAGCAGTTGAAACCCCTTTGGCTGGAAGAAGAAACCTAATTGTGTGTGTGTGTGTGTGTGTGTGCACGCGCGTTCATCCTGGCGGTCCAGATGTGTCGGTCCAAGTGGGCTGTGTTGCAGCCGAGACTGAAGAAGAGCTTTTAGCTTCACGTCCTGTCTTCATCAGTCCATACAGAGGAGCTAGGAAACCACTTATCTACCTCGATGTCAGCTTTAGCCATTAAGGTTTAAAATCCAATAAATAGCCTAAATAAAGCACTCTTCTCCCAGCCCTTGCGCCAGCTGGCAAACAGCACTAAAAAAGCAGTGAGAAAGGTGCGACTAGGCTTTATCAGTGACCCTGTTGAAATTTTTGATTTTCATGAGGGGCGCAAAGGAAATGAGGCCATAACGTAATGAATTACCACCATTTCTAGCTCATTTGCAGATTTAAGCTGATGTTGAGGTTAATAACGCTTCAAAAGACTGCTAAAAGGAGAGAGGAATAAGAGAGAGAGAGACAGACAGTGTCTTGTCAGAAAGAGTCAATGTGTGGATTATGATGTAATGCCAGCAAAACTGTAGGCCAACATGTCATTTTGAAAAACAGAAATGCCATTGAGAATAAAATTACTGTCATTATTTCCCTTAATGATCTGTGAGAGAAATGTCTATTATCTGACCCAGCTATCATTCTGTGTGGTGTCCCTCAGGGTTCAATTTTGGGTCTGTTACCGTTCACTTTATATATGCTACCACCACAAACAATTACAAGCAGGTCGATCAGTTTGATCTGCTATGTAGTTGAAATTCTCACCAACATTTAGCAACCAAGCTCAGCTGTGCAGGTTGACAGAACTGCATTAAATGTTGGATAACACTCACACCTTCTACAGGGAATCTTGGTGTGATTATTTGAGTGTGAATTCAAATCTAACAGACATAAACTCAGTTGATAAATTTGTACTTGGAACAACATGGAATTGCATCTAACGACACTTTATGCACTCCCTAATCCCATCTGACATGAAGAAAGTGCTTGGTTTCACTAATATACTCCCAGACTTAACATACTGCTAATCTTGACTGTGCATTTCGTAATTTCTGTTAGACCTGTATTTCCCATCTACAATTAGTACAGAATGCTGCTGCTGAAGTTCTGTCTGGATGCAGAGAAAATATTAGTAACACTTGTATGAAGGTCTCTATGAAGGTCATCGCTATAATGACTTATGCATATATTTATAAAACAATATAATGCGTCCATAAGACATTATAACAATTTTTATAATCACTTACAAACATGCATTAGGCGCTATACCAAAGTTCATAAAGTATTATGACCTTTTGATTTAATGTTTTATAACTAATAGTAATACCTGTTTATATCAATGTGCAACAAGAATCTCTGACCATGTTCCATAACACATTATAACCATCGACTCTACCTCGTTATAAATACACTTTAGTGTAATGTCACCATGTTGAATTAGTGATATAAAATGGAATAATAGCTTACAGTAATGTTTAATGTTATATAGCATGTCTTTGTTTGCTTTAAGTGTTAAAATGTCCACCCCTGTATAATAAAGTGACACACATTTTGCGCAGGAAAACAACTTTTATTTATGTTTCTTCTTTATGAACAATCTGTATAAATTTTTAACATTTTGCAGTTTAGCACAAAAACACAACATAATTACATCAAGGACACTCATTCTCAGGGTGGTGAGAGATCGCTCAAGAGAAGACCTGTTGCTGATCAACATCATGTAAGAAGAGGCTCACATGTTGTCATGGATGAAAGGCGAGCCTATGGACAGGCCCTAACAGATGCAGTGGATTGAAGGCATACTAATTAACGTTAACGTAAGTTGTGTTTTTGTGCTAAACTGCAAAATGTTAAAAATTTATACAGATTGTTCATAAAGTGAAGAAACATAAATAAAAGTTGTTTTCCTGCGCAAAATGCGTGTCACTTTACTTAAAGCAAACAATACGTGTTTTTATAATTAGTGCATTTGGTATTATGTCCACCTGTAATATATTATACAGGGGTGGACATTTTAACACTTTACTTAAAGCAAACAAAGACATGCTATGTAACATTAATCATTACTATAAGCTATTATTCCATTTTATATCACTAATTCAACATGGTGACTAAAGTGTATTTATAACGAGGCAGAGTCATTGATATAAACTGGTATTACTATTAGTTATAAAACACTGAAATCAAATATAGGGTATAATACGTTATGAACTTTGCTATAGCACCTAATGCATGTTTGTAAGTGATTATAACAACTGTTATAATGTCTTATGCATGGGCGTAAATCTCATCTCACAGTAGGGGGGCACAATAAACATAAAATTTCTGAAGAGCAATTTCTGAAGGGGACACAAATAATACAGCAAAAATTGTCCTTGTATAGGATACGTGTACACAGAGAGAAGTCTTACTACTATATATACATATATATTAGATATTTAATGGCAGCAGGCCAACTGATCTGTCACTTAACATCATAATGCACAAAATCCTACACAATGGTAGATATGGTATTAGCCTAATATTGGTTCACACACAGGATTATCACTGTAGTAAGAGATGCACAGATTACATTTTTCCTGGCTGATTCCAGTTACTGATTTTTTAAAAGGTCTGACCTGCCGATTTTATTTCTTTCTAAGATCTATAACTGACAGCATACACAAACATTTCTG